AGCTCATTTTGAGTTGTGCAGAATAGGTAGCTTGACGTAGCTTTTTCAGGTCCAGATTTCCAGCTACCAGAATTCCCCCCCTTTGTGTATACCTTGCATATTATGAGAGAAAAGGCATTAGAATTACTCCAAAAAGCATTATTATGCAATAAAACATCATAAATAACAGTAGGAAAACATGATGCAAAATAGACGTATCACAAGCCTACTTCATCAACAACTCCATCATCACTACCTCCTAAGAAAGAGACATAAATACATGGGTATGGGCACTCCCCTTGGCAACTGCCAAGCTTGGGGGAGGTGCCCCGGTATTGTATCACCATCACACCTTTACTTTTATCATTTTCTTAGTTGGTCCTTTTGGTTATATATTGATCTAGTAGAATTAAATTTTAGTATGATCTAGCTTTGAGTTTTGTTTAGAGATCTATCTATGTAATCGAGTCCGTGAGCTATATAATAATGAGTAGTTTCGAGTTGAGGGCTTTGCTTTCTTGCTATGATCTTAAGGGTATAAAAATAAGAAAAAGAGATAAAACAAATAAAAAAGGATCATGTATTGATCTTATGGAGAGTAATGACTTCACATATAAAGAGTATGATGAATAAAAATCGTGAGAGTTGACAAACATAGTTTTGGTCATTGTTGTAATTAATAGGAAGTAATAAAGAAAGAGAGGTTTTACATATAAATATACTATCTTGGACATCTTTTGTAATTGTGAGCACTCATTCAAATATAACATGCTAAAAAGTTTATGTTGGACAAGGAAGACAACATAATGGGTTATGTTTTCTTATATCCGAATAGAAGTTATATTGTCATGGATTCTCCAACATGTTGAGCTTGCTTTTCCCTCTTATGCTAGCCAAATCCTTTGCACCAAGTAGAGATACTGCTTGTGCATCCAAACATCCCTTAAACCCAGTTTTGCCATGAGAGTCCACCATACCAACCTATGGATTGAGTAAGATCCTTCAAGTAAGTTGTCATCTGTGCAAGCAATAAAAATTGCTATTTAAATATGTATGATCTATTAGTGTGAAGAAAATAAGCTTTATACAAACTTGTGATATGGAAGAAATAAAAGAAACATACTGCATCATAAAGTTCTTCATCACAAGCGGCAATATAAAGTGACGTTCTTTTGCATTAAGATTTTGTGCATCCAACTATAAAAGTGCATGACAACCTCTGCTTCCCTCCGCGAAGGGCCTATCTTTTACTTTTATCTTCCACCCTTATACAAAAGTCATGGTGATCTTCACCTTTCCTTTTTACACTTTTTCCTTTTGGCAAGCACTATGTGTTGGAGAAAGATCCAAATATATATATCCACTCGGATGTAGGTTGGGGGAGTTGATACGTCCATTTTGCATCATGCTTTTATATTGATATTTATTGCATTATGGGCTATTATTACACATTATAACACAATACTTATGCCTTTTCTCTTTTATTTTACAAGGTTTACATGAAGAGGGAGAATGCCGGCAACTGGAATTCTGGACTGGAAAAAGGAGCAAATATTAGATACCTTTCTGCACAACTCCAAAAGTCCTGAAACTTCATGGAGAGTCATTTTGGAATTAATAAAAAATATTGGGCGAAGAAAGCACCAGAGGGGGGCCACCAGCCATCCACAAGGGTGGGGGCGTGCCCTACCGCCTGGGTGCGCCCCCTGCCTTGTGGGCCACCTGGCAGGCCCCCGGCGCCCATCTTATGCTATATGGTGTGTTTTGACCTGGAAAAAATGAGAAGAAAGCTTTCGGGATGAAGCGTCGCCGTCTCGAGGCGGAACCTGTGCTGAACCAATCTAGGGCTCCGATGGAGTTGTTCTGCCGGGGAAACTTTCCTTCGGGAGGGGGAAATCAAAGCCATCGTCATCACCAACGATCCTTTCGTCGAGAGGGGTTCAATCTCCATCAACATCTTCACCAACACCATCTCCTCTCAAACCCTAGTTCATCTCTTGTATCCGATCTCTGTCTCAAAACCTCAGATTGGTACCTATGGGTTGCTAGTAGTGTTGATTACTCCTTGTAGTTGATATTAGTTGGTTTATTCGGTGGAAGATCATATGTTCAGATCCTTAATGATAATTAATATTTCTTTGATTATGAACATGAATATGCTTTGTGAGTAGTTATGTTTGTTCCTGAGGACATGGGAGAAGTCTTGTTATAAGTAATCATGTGAATTTGGTATTCGTTTGATATTTTGATGAGATGTATGTTGTCTCTTCTCTAGTGGTGTTATGTGAACGTCGACTACATGGCACTTCACCATGATTTGGGCCTAGGGGAAGGCATTGGGAAGTAATAAGTAGATGATGGGTTGCTAGAGTGACAAAAGCTTAAATCCTAGTTTATGAGTTGCTTCGTAAGGGGCTGATTTGGATCCATATGTTTCATGTTATGGTTAGATTTATCTTAATTCTTCTTTCGTAGTTGCGGATGCTTGCGAGAGGGGTCAATCATAAGTGGGAGGCTTGTCTAAGGAAGGACAACACCCAAGCACCGGTCCACCCACATATCAAATTATCAAAGTAACGGACGCGAATCATATGAGCATGATGAAAACTAGCTTGACAGTAATTCCGATGTGTCCTCGGAAGCGTTTTGCTTTATATAAGAGTTCGTCCAGGCTTGTCCTTTGTTACAAAAAGGATTGGGCCACCTTGCTGCATCTTAGTTACTTTTGTTACTTGTTACCCGTTACGAATTATCTTATCACACAACTATCTGTTATCGATAATTTTAGTGCTTGCAGAGAAAACCTTGCTGAAAACCGTTTGTCATTTCCTTCTGCTCTTTGTTGGGTTCGACACTCTTACTTATCGAAAGGCTACGATAGATCCCCTATACTTGTGGGTCATCAGTGCTCTATATCCCAGTTACAAAGTAGGGGACAAGACACATATCAATATTGTTTCCATTAAGGGTAAAACGACGGGGTTTATTCATATTCATTGGGTTTACTTTGTCTACATCATGTCATCTTGCTTAAGGTGTTACTTTTATTTTATTCTACAATTTATATATCTATTCATACAAGATTTAATCTTTGCAAGTAACAAGTTCAAAGAGGTTGACAACCCTCTTGCCCGCGTTGCGTGCAAATATTTGCTTTTGTATGTGTAGGCACTGAATGTAAAAACTCATGAAAATTAAATTAGAAAGCAGGGACCTGGACTCGAACTCCTGCCTGCATGCTACAAACTAGCGACTACAGCGGCGGACCCGTTTTTTTGAGAGTTCCAACATTTATTGAGAAAATGTGAACAAATTTCCTTAAAAAATGCGAATAATGTTTGAAAGTCTGAAGATTTTTTTTTCAAAATTCGAACAACTTCTAAACGAGAACAATTTTGGGAAAAGTGAACAAAAATTGTAAACATGAACAATTTTTTATATAGGCTCAACAATTTTAAATTAACATTGAATTTTTTGTGATATACGCCGAAAAAATTGTAAAAACACATTGAACATTTTTGTATATGTTGAACATGTTTTCAAAATACACAATGAACATATTGTAGTATACGTTGAACAATTTCTTAATATATGATAAACAAGTTTAAAATACAAAGTGACCAATTTCTTAATATACGATGAATGTTTACATAATGCATGGTGAACTTTTTCATTATATATGGTGAATTAATTTTTAATATACGATGAACATTTTTTAATACACGATGGACCTTTTATATACTACCAAATGGAAAACAGAGAAAAGAAACAGCAAAAAAAAGAGAAAAAAGTAAAGTAAAGAAAGAAATAAGAAAAAAAAGGAAAAGAAGTCGAAAAAACCCGGTTAGAAACAAAACAGAAAGACACATTCAGGCATCGTTCGTTTAATCACACCCCCGCCGGGATCGGAGGGGTTTTGTCCCGAACCCCGTGGGTTTTACCCTCGCAGGAGTTGGATCCCCGCTTAGCTTATATGCATATTCGGTTAAACCCGGACGGGTTTATTTCCCATCCAAAACACCCTCAAACCGCAGGGATTCCACCGGGTTCTGAGCCATGTCTCCCTCCGCGTGGAAGAAAACCATGTTTCATCTCTTCTCGTCTAGTTGTTTGGTCTCGAAAGAAAAATAAGAGGGCAAGAGCGACGGCGGCGGGGAACGAGCCGGAGAGACGAACTCAATCCTCCATTGAAGACCGGCTGTTGCCTTCTACCTGAACCCCCCCCTCCTCACTCCCCAGCAGAAGATCCTCGGCACGACCCTCTCCTTCCATCCCGACACGAGCTCGAAGGAGATCTCGAGGTGCAGCGGTGCGAGCACGGCGGCTCCCGCAGCGACCCCCATCTCCGGCGTCCACTCCTCCCAAAAATTATCTTCCCACGGATAAGATTTTTGCCCTCTCCTCACCACTCTTAATTTCTATTCTGCTAGGCTTCCAGCTCATCTGCCAAGAAAGAGGCGTAAACGAACAATTATACGTAGACAGGGATTATGCAGGAAAGGATTAGTGGGGATTGGGTGACGGGGTGAGGATCACCCAAACCCTGCGTGGATTGAATCCACTAGGGGATTGGATCCCAAACAACCGAACAAAGCCTCAGGGAATCTTCTAAGGTTCCCAAAGCCGGCCAGAAACCTCTTGGCATAAGGATCCTGCAAGGAAGAAACAGGAGCGAAGCCGAATGATGGGCCGTCCCAAGTGGAAGCGACGGGTTGCTCGCTCTGCGAAGATTTGACGCTAACAAGCGTCATATAAGAAACCTGCCCCTAGTCAAGTCAGCCGAAACACGCATTGGGCCTGGCCCGGAATCGTCCCTGGCCGGATCGAACCACGCGGATCGGCTGCGATCCTGGCTAAACCAAACAAGCCGAAGCAAGTTCGAGTCCCGCACCCCTCCAACCCGGATCCCACGCCTCCGGTCCTCTCGCGTCGCAGGCGCCGCCGTCGATTCCGGTCTAAACCCTCGTCCAGTTGCCGAAACCCTAGAGGCCGCCGCGACGGGAGCCCCCGCGGTGGCCACCATGCCGCTCCTCTCCTCCCCGGACGCCGGAGACCACCAGCAGCAACTGCAGATTGTTCCCTCGTCCGTCGGCGTCGCCCCCTCGAAGCCCGAGCCCGCACCGACGGTGTCCACCCACACGCGCACCATCGGCATCATCCACCCTCCGCCGGACATCCGGGTGATTGTCGAGAAAACGGCCACCTTCGTCGTCAATAACGGGCCCGAGTTCGAGCGCCGCATCGTCGCCCACAACCAGGGCAATGCCAAGTTCAGTTTCCTCCAGCCCTCCGACCAGTGGCGGAGCTTGCAGCCCAAAGGTGGGCGGGCCGAATAGAAAAAATAGCCTATGGGCTACTGTTTTCAGGCCCGAACTAGATATATAGTGTATAAAATTCAATGGGCTGGGCGGGCCATGGCCCATTCAGCCTTGCTGAAGCTCCGCCAGTGCCTCCGACCCCTACCACGCCTACTACCAGCACCGCGTCTCTGAGATCGCCGAACGTTCGCCCGCCGCTGATGCCTCCGCCGCGCCGGAGTCCGAGGACGGCCATCCTCTCCCGTCCGACTCTGCTGATGGCGCCGATGACAAGCCCGACCACTCTGCGCCCTTCCGTGTGGCACCGCTGACCAAGGTGCTGGTGCCACCCAAGGCTGAGCTCTACATGGTGCGGCTGCCTGAGGGTATCACTGGGGAGGAGCTCGACATCATCAAGCTGACTGCACAGTTCGTGGCTTGGAATGGGAAGAACTTCCTGACGAGCCTGGCACACCGAGAGAGCACCAACTCGCAGTTTAACTTCATCCGACCCACGCACAGCATGTTTCCTTTCTTCACCATGTTTGCCGGCGTGTACTCGAGGGTGCTGAGCCCGGATGAGGGTGTGCCTGCACTGACAAAGGAGCTGCGGGAGGGGTCGAAGGACCTCACCACTGTGCTGGAGCGGTGCCTGAATCGGCTGGAGTGGGACCGATCACAGGAGCAGGCGAAGCAACAGGCAGAGGATGAACTTGAGCTGGAGAGGGTGCAGATGTCGATGATTGATTGGCATGATTTTGTTGTTGTTGCGACAATTGAGTTCGCACATGATGAATATGAGGGGCTTCCTGTCCCGCCTACGCTAGAAGAATTGAAGCGCCGGAAGAGGATGGAGACCTTGGGAGAGGAGGAACCCATGGAATTGGCTGAACCAGCTAAGGATGTTGAGATGGAGATGGATGAGGAGGAGATGCAACTTGTTGAGGAAGGAATGAAGGCAGCAAGGCTTGAGGAGAACAGAGGAGGAGCACAAGTTAGGGTGGCCGGTGATCAGGAGCCGCCTATGAGAATTGTCAAGAACTATAAGAGGCCCGAGGAGAGGATCCCTGCGGCGAGGGACCCGACCAAGTTTGTTGTTTCAACAATAACCGGAGAGCTCATTCCGATTAGCGAGATGGGGGAACACATGTGCATCTCGCTCATTGACCCGAAGTACAAGGAACAGAAGGAAAGAATGCTGGCCAAGATTAAGGAGACCACGCTTGCTCCAGATGATGAGGTCGTCAATAACATTGTTGGTCTTGCACGGACAAGGCCAGACATATTTGGAACGACTGAGGAAGAGGTTTCTAATGCCGTCAAGGCAGAAATTGAAAAGAAAAAGGATGAGCAGCCAAAGCAGGTTATTTGGGATGGTCATTCTGGTAGCATTGGTCAAACTGCCACTCAGGCAATGTCTATGGGTGGTGAAGAACAAGTTGATGCCTCAAATGTTCCAGGTCCAGCTCCACTTCCCCGGTTTGTCATGCCGTTGCCCCTGCCTCCTCAACCACTTTTTTTGGTTAATGTTCCCCGATTTACACCAAATCCAATGCCTTATCATCTCCAAACCCCAGCTCATCATAAGCAAGGAGTTCCACTTATGATGTCCAACATGCACCCACAGATGATTAGGATGTCAGGTCCCATGGGTCCTATGCCAAACAATATCCCCCCTCGTCCAGGCCATATTACTCAGTTCATGCCTAGTCCACCAAGGTTCCCTATGCCGCCAACCCCGCACATGCAGACCACGCCAACCATGGTCAACCCCATCGGAATCCCCCAGGCTCCACCACCTTTGCCTCCACAACCACCTGCCGAGGAGCAGCCACCTCTACCTGAGGAACCAGAACCTAAGAGGCAGAGAACAGATGATGCTTCTCTGGTCCCAGCTGAGCAGTTTCTTGTTCAGCATCCGGTAATGTTTCTTTTCATATGTTTCGACTCTAATTACTTCTCTTATTATCCTGTAGTGTCATGCTAATTTATTTATTTCTGCAGGGCCCTGCGCGCATCTTGGTTTCTGTACCCAACCTCGATGAAGGAAGCTTGCGAGGCCAAGTTTTGGAGATCTCTGTCCATTCACTCTCAGACACAGTCGGCAGTCTGAAGGAGCAGATTGCTGGAGAGCTGCAGCTTCCTGCTAATAAGCAGAAGTTGAGTGTGAGAACTAGTTTCCTCAAAGACAATCTTTCTCTTGCTTATTACAATGTTGGCCCTGGGATGGTGATCAATCTAACTCTGGGAGAGTGCGGTGGGAGAAAGAAATGAGTTTTTCTTATCCCAGTTTACTTACGGGGGCTTATTACGACCAAGCTTCAATGGCCATCATGGAGATCATTTTTGTTAGTTGCTGCCTTCTGGATTCTTGTATTATGTTTTTTCATATAAGGCCAGGAGCATAATTTGCACTATTTAGTTTTCAGACTTGCCTATGCTTCTTAATATAGTTATATACATGTTTTTGGAGATGTTTATCCTTGTTATTCTCATTGTGTTACTCGAGAGCTAACGTATACCTACCCGGCTATTTGATAGTGTGCTCCAGAGTTCAGGTGGCCGTATTAGCTTCTCCTGTTTAGTCTTCTAAGACGTTCTTGATATCTTGAAAATGCATATTGTCATTTCCCATGTTGGCATGTTTTGAGATTTTCTCTTATTTTTTTCTTTCCTGAAGAACCTCATGCGAGGGCAAAGGGTTCCTGCATTTCATTAAGAGGAATAGAGATGATCCAGTTTATAAGGAAAACCGTATCCAAAAACCTAACAATGCCCGGTTAATTGGGGAAAACCGAGTGAGCACCCAAGAACAAACACAAAAAGGAAAAAGGACACTGGAGCTTGAGGGTAGGGACTAGGACACGCACGCATTGCATCAGTAAAGACACTGTCTCTCTCTTTTCAAGTGCTTATCATGAAAGGTCTGTGGAAAGCTTATGTTGTAGTTCTAATAAATGGAGTTGTGGGTGATGTATCTGATGTTTACATTGTTTGTTAAGGACTTAATTATGTATTCACTGATGGTCATGTTCTTATTTTCATTTTGCTTGGTTCATCAAGATTTGGATAAGCACTGATGCTCATGTTCACCAGTCACTAACTTTCCTGTTATCTTGTGTTGTGGGGCAGCTAGGTCCTATTTTTGCACCTGACCAGTAATGCTGAGGTATTAACCATGTCCAGTAAATGCTGAGGTATTAACCATGTTTCATGGTGCTATTAATATCTGCGTAATGTTCAGCATAGGTCTTTACACGACAATGCTTAGCTCATCTATACTGGAATTCAGTAAACCCAAATGATTGCATTCAACCAACAATGGTTTATTTCTCGAGGCAGGATTATAGATTGGTTCTTACCAGATTTCTTGTTTCTTTGTACTCCCTCTGTTCCAAAATAAATGACTCAACTTTGTACTAAAGTTAATACAAAGTTGAGTCATCTATTTTGGAATAGAGGGAGTATGTTTTTGACATTTCATGTAATGCAACTCGCCAAGGTTGAACTTTAACGCAGATCATAGTGTACCGAACTAGTACTGTTTTTCCATATTACTTTTGCACTGCTTATACAGAGTTTAAGCTAGAAACAGTTATATTGCTTCTTGTGAGGATTGCTTACTACGTATATCTGATCGCCTCCTTTAGGTTCAGTTAGGCAGGGTTTGAGGAGGTTTGAAGAGGATTAAATCCCTTGCAAGTCAAAATCCCCCTCAAACCTCCCCAATCCCCTTCAATCCTAGTGCTGAGGCGATTAACCGAACATGGCCTTAGGCACCTTGACCAAGATTTCACACAATGCGAGCAGAAGTCTTCAACAAATGCTGAGAATCATACCCTAGCTCTGCTGCTCTGGCCAGCGTGTGCAAACCGGACCATGACAGGGGCTCCCACTTCATAAAACTCAAGTTACAGTGTATCACGCGCAAGGTGAGCCAGTTACAACTTGACTATCTCTTTCAATTATGGCCTGCAGCTTGCAGGCCCAGCAGCAAACTTGGCGTCATTTCAGACCTCCTCGAAGAACATCTTTGGCTTACGGTTGCTGGCCCACCTCGGTCCTGACAAGTTGCCCTAGGTCGAGGTCTGGAAAGTGAGCCCGGACCGAGGCTGGAACTTGTCGCGCTCCATCGAAGGCCCTGGAGAACTGCCACTCGATCATTCGGGTTGGGAGAGTCTTGAAGTAGCGTCAGCACGCCATTCAAGTCTCGTGGGAGCGTCGGGTCCTAGTACCAGAGGATCCCAGCCACGGAGCCAAGAGCGACCCTCATCCTCTGCGTTCGTGCTGCGACCTTGCGGTGCCGCTCCTCAGCATCTTCAATATGAATCTCATGAAGGCAAACTGCGAAGGAAAGGAACACATAAGATCATGCATGACTTGCAAATTCCACGCACACGGACAAGGACATCAAATAATTTCGTTGTGCGGCGATCTCCAGATGCTCGCAGTGTTTTTGCGCTTGGCGAAGCTCGGTGGACATGTCGAAGGTGGATTTCCGGAGCTACAGAATCTCCCCCTCATACTTTTTGCAGTTCTCGCTCCGACGCTGGAGCTCCGCCTCGAGGGTCCTGACCTCATTGCGAAGTCGGCCCTGCTCGCCCTTGCCTTCTTTGAGCTGGCCTCGCGGGACTCCGCAGGCCTCCAAGTCGCGCATGGTCTCCTTCAGGCTAGCGAGCTCTGCTTCAGTAACCCGCGCAGTGTCCCGAGCCTCATCACACGCGCGGTTCGCCTCATCCAGATCATGCCTAAGTTGCGCACCCTGCTCGAGGGCCGCAAGACAAAAGAGGGTCAACGACCATACACAAAGCTATAAGGCCAAAGGTGTAACATACATAAAAGGAGGACTCGCGAACTACGCTTGCACAAAGACGTTCCAGGTCCTCGTTTGGTTTTCTGTGCGCCGCAAGCTGGTGACGTCAGCGTCCAGTTCGTGGTTCCGCTTCGCTAGACCCTGACAAAGGAGAAAGATGCATTTTATAAACCCGGGAGCTACAAGGCAGAAATGAAAATGCACAACAAAAACATAGCATGTTTCCAATCAGGAACCACACTTAGTCCCGGGGGATACCATTACCTTAAGCACAAAAACAGATTCTATGGAGCAAGAAGCCTTACCGAGAATCGAATCCGAGGAGCAAGAAGCCTTATCGAGAATCTGGCACCACAGAGAGGCCACCCCTCTGGATGGCATATCAGAAGAGCTTCATCTCCTCGCTCACAGCGTCCATCATGACCCGGGTCTCCTCAGGCACATTTATCCCCATCTCGCTAGCCCCTGGGAAAAGGGAAGGTAACACCGCCATGACAGGTTCTGCCATCACTTTCCTTCTCTTCTTCGACCTAGCATCCAAACCACCGGCCTCTGATTTCGAGGCAAGCTTGGCAACCACCTATAGACACCAAAGTAGTAACGTCAGGACGAACCCGTGCTACTTGTGAGCCACGTTAGGATTTTCCCCGAAGAGGAAGGATGAAGCAATATAGTAGCAGATAGTATTTCCGTCAATGGGAAGCAAGGTTATCAAACAAATATGAGAACCACGCAAATGCCTAGTAAGCAGTACCTGCACACACACAAAAGCAAATACTTGCACCCAATGCGGGCAAGAGGGTTGTCATGGCAGATGTCCTCGTGAAAGGACTAAGTCCGGAGGCCATCGCAACTAGGAGGGTGCTTGAGAGTGGTTGATCGGGAAACAAAGGACACGGGTTTACCCAGGTTCAGCCCCTCACGGTGGAGGTAAAGACATACTTCCTGCTTGATTAATATTGCTAAAAATCTCGATTACAAGGATGCAGATTCGCTAACCTAGCTCTCGATGATTGTAACCTAGTCTTTCCCCCAAGGGCTCCCCTTTATATAATAGGTTGAGTCCCTGTGTTTACAACATAGTCCGGGTCGTACTACGACCCGCATCCTATTCTACTGATCTCCCAAGGAAGGAGTCCTCATCTTCGGGCCTTCGTCAAGCCGGCCCATCAAATTTCGCCACGAGCCGCCCTTTACTTAATCTGTTGGGCCTTCCGCCACGTGATGATCCGTCAGGTTGAGGTGACCCGTGAGCCAGTGCGCTCTGGGCCGGGTCATTCCTCCTGCCGGGTCATAGTGCAAGGAAATATCCCCAACATTAGCCCCCATTTTAGCTTGGATTTATCCATGCTAAATTATATACATGAAAAACAAAATAAGAAACGAGGGAAAGAAGAATATCAAAGATCAACCCGGGTCTGCATGGTTAAGCCAGGAAAACTATTCGTGTGATCCGTGCTTCTTCCTTTCCAGATACTTTGGCCGAGTCAAGTGGTTTAGCCGACTTACGGAGACTCCACACTTAGCATCTTTCCATTCCATTCCATAACGTGACATCACTTGTCCATCTTCCCAAATTCAGCAGATGATGTCATAACGGATCTTTTAAGTGGAAATGTGCCGTCTTGTTAGGTGCAAGAATCGAGG